AAGACTGAACAGACTGCATGGGGTTCTTTGCCCACAGAACCTTCACGCTTTGTGTTTGGCCATAACTTACTGAGCGTTCAGCCTGGAGGAAGCTGGTGCATCACAGCCTCTCCCAATTTGAAGAGACCCTTGTCCAGCAGGCTGAGGCAAAGAGGCAGACCCGAAAGCAGCAAAATCAGGGAGCAGGACAGGGGACAGATTGTACTGAACAGACTGCATGGGGTTCTTTGCCCACAGAACCTTCACGCTTTGTGTTTGGCCATAACTTACTGAGCGTTCAGCCTGGAGGAAGCTGGTGCATCACAGCCTCTCCCAATTTGAAGAGACCCTTGTCCAGCAGGCTGAGGCAAAGAGGCAGACCCGAAAGCAGCAAAATCAGGGAGCAGGACAGGGGACAGATTGTATTTGTCTTCATTGTGGAAGGGATTGTCACTCTCGAATTGTCCTTCTCAGCCACACTAGACGCTGTTCCATTCAGAGCATGTTCCCATTGTCTCTCAAGACTGAAAGATGCCTAATTTAAATTGTCCTAATGTGTTTCTTCTCTCTCAGAATGGATACTGCCACTACAATCAATCCAAGTTCCTAGGTAACATCTCAAGATACATCAACATCCCTTATGGTAATATCACTGCCTTGAAACAGGCTATCTTCAAGAACGGACCTGTGGCTGTGAGCATTAATGCCTCCCCCAAGTCATTCACATTCTATGCCAATGGTGTCTATTATGACCCTGAATGTGGTAAGTCTCATAACATATCAATTTTTGTCTGCTCTTCATCCCTTTCCTATTATTCTATGTACTGAACAACCTGGTTTTGTAATGTTTCTCCAAGGCATCCTCCTCCAATCAGGGCCCTCCAAATGTGCAACACTAAAAAAAACCACATTCCCAAATAGCACAGACTGCTGGACAGCTCAATGGTTTTGGCTGTGGAGCCAGACATTGAGAGTTCGATTCCCCCCTGGGCCGGCTGGACTCAGACTCGATACGGACCCTTCCGGCTCTGCAGTTCTAAGATTATTGTGATCATTGGGAAAGATCTGTCATAGCCATCTAAATGTTGACTGCGTGAACTAGTGGTTAACCAGCAGTTAAGAACAAGTGAAGCTTGCAGCCAAATATTGCAGAGCGTTGCTCAGTGAGCCAGCCAGCCATGTATTCTTTTGGAATACCCCATTCCACGCTGCCTCTTATGATGCAAGATAAAGATCTCTGGCAACACCCTCAATAAACTACAGTTCCCAGGATTCTTTGAGGGAAACTATGTTCATTTCACTGATATAAAAGAGATACAAAATTTCTTTGTGGTCCTATATCTAAATTTTAGGGTAACACAGGGATGTAGAACTGTTAGAGCCCCAGATTTTTTGGACTAAAGCTCCTGCAATCCATCTGGCTCTGCATCAATAATCAAAATCTAAAGCCTTCAGAGGGCCAAAGATCCCCTACCTCTGATGTGTTTCCATCTCCTTCATGTTCAGACTCCCAGTGCTTTGCTCCCCTCCTCACCCAACCTGGATTTCGTTTATCAATGCGGAAGTTCAGTGCAATTTTATCCCTTTATTTCTTATGCTGGGCGACAGAGCTCTGTCACTAGGTGGCACCTTCGGCTTACCTCAAAGTATTATTTCCCTCACCTTTTCTATTTTATAAGACTTCAGCAAGAATCACGCTCTGGACCAGTGGCCACTGTTGTTTTGACTATGCGCTTTATCAGACAGGCATTTGCCCCACTGTTTGATGGGACAAATTGGTACTGCCTTTCTCCCCCTAAGGGACGTGGTGGCACTGTGGGCTAAACTGCAGAAACCTGTGCTGCAGGGTCAGAAGACCAAGCAGTCGTAAAATCGAATCCACGCGACGGAGTGAGTGCCCGTCGCTTGCCCAAGCTCCCGCCAACCTAGCGGTTCGAAAGCATGCAAATGCAAGTAGATCAATAGGAACCACCTCGGTGGGAAGGTAACAGCGTTCCGTGTCTAAGTCGCACTGACCATGTGACCACGGAAGATTGTCTTCGGACAAAAAAGCTGGCTCTATGGCTTGGAAACGGGGATGAGCACTGCCCCCTAGAGTCGAACACGACTGGACAAAAATTGTCAAGGGGAACCTTTACCTTTACCTTTACCTTTACTTCTCCCCCTGGCGATTAGATGACATAATCTCTAGAGTGAACCGATCTGTCCCCAGGGCATTCCTTCCTGCACCTTTCTGAGGGCTTCTACTTTTTTTTGATATGGGTATGTTCACTTGGAACAGACCAAGAAATTTGACTTAGGGGACAGAAATGACGCAGGAAAGCAAGTCAGAGAGTTCTGTGAAGCCAGCAATTTGTTCATTGCAAATGCAGGCTTCAAACAACTGAACAGAGAGTTGTACTCATGGACATCGCCAGGCAGTCAGTATATAAACCAAATTTTGTTGTTGTTTAGTTGTTAAGTCATGTCTAACTCTTCATGACCCCATGGACCAGAGCACGCCGGGCCCTCCTGACTTCCACTGCCTCCCGGAGCTTGGTCAAAGTCATGTTGGTCGCTTCAATGACACTGTCCAACCATCTCATCTTCTGTTGTTATATTTGAGTACATTTTTTCTTTAAGTCATTGTTTCTTACCAGCATTGAAGAACAGCCTTGTATATAAGGGGTCACCCAAATGGAGCATTTTTCCTACCCTCTGCAATTCCAGTTGTTGCTATTGGGTGCCCAACAAGTGCAGACTTTACCAAGGTTTCTGTCCATATTTAGTCCCCAAACTCCACTTCTTTTCTCATTAAGAAATCAGCATATTTTTAAAGAATGGTTCAAAAATATTTCCAAAAGCTGAAAGCAAATGAGCTGTGCTAAATTGCTTTAAAATTGTACATTAGTGTTGTAATTGAAAGCCTACAATCTGAGCTCTCTACTGTGGAGGCTCACCTCACTGGTATTTTACTTTGATAGCAACTGTCTTAAAAGTGGCAAGGAAACCATTTAAATTATCTTTTGTGCTGGATTTGTTTTGTTTTGTTTTGTTTTTTGCTTGTTTGCTTGTCTTTTGGTACAGGATTAGCACCAATATTGGAAGTTTTAGACTCAAGAAGCTCTTGCTGCTTCAATTCTTCCCTGGCACGTGGTGAAACTAACCAAGTACAGTAACGGTCTAGAAATGTTGGGTTAAAACTCCCGGCTTTATCAGTCTTTGTCGTTTTTTCATCATAAGACATGAGGTGAATTTGCACACCTGCTACAGTCTTCAGATTTCTAAATGTCTATCTTAACTTTTTGAATTTGTGGACCAGTGATTCTTAGGGGACCAAAAAGATCTACAAATTGAAAGCAAGTTATTCCATAAAGAAATGGTGCTATAAATCACCTCATTCACTAATTTGGCCTCTCTTTTTTTGCAACAGGAAATGACACAGTCTTGAACCATGGAGTACTGGCTGTAGGCTATGGTGTCCTACATGGAGAGACCTACTGGATCATCAAAAACTCCTGGTCCACCTATTGGGGAAATAATGGCTACATTCTCCTTTCCATGAAAGACAATAACTGTGGGGTGGCCAATGCTGCTCTTTACCCTGTTATAGAGTAAGAGACTACCAAATGAGGGGGGGAGGGGGAGAGTCCTGTACAGCTGTTGTGCTTTTAACAGTACAGTGGTGCCTCGCTAGACGATGATAATCCGTTCCACTGAAATCGCTGTTTAGCGAAATCATTGCCTAGCAAAAAGCATTTCCCCATTGGAATACATTGAAACCTGTTTAATGCGTTCCAATGGGGAAAAATCGTCGTTGTCTAGCGAAGATTGGCCATAGGAAAGCCGCTTTGCGAATTGCCGATCAGCTGTTTAACTCGCTGTCTTGCGAAGCTTGGGTCCCGAAAACACCTGTTTTGCAAGTGCGGAGGGAGCTGTCAGAATCGTCGTCTAGCGAAAATCGGTTTGCAAAGCAGGGACCAAACATTGTCCAGCAAAATTTCCCCATAGGAATCACTGTTTTGCGAATTACTATAGCGATCGCAAAAAGCCAGTGTCTAGCAAAAAACCTGTCATGCGGGGTAACTGTCTAGCGAGGCACCACTGTAGTGTAAATGCCAGTGAGTAGATGCCTTATAGCATTTGCATATTTGAACTATTGCTGTAGGCATATCTAGGGAGCTGGTTGAAAAGATCGACACCCTATTCTACAGTGAGTAATATATGAGAATACAGAAGAACCCCAGTAACGGAAGGATCAGTATCCACTGATTCCGTTATCCATGGTCTGAAAATATTAAAATTATTAAAAGAAAAACCCACAAAACATATATTTCTAATGATGAAGTTACCAGAATTTGGCACTAGAGGGAAACAGAAACCATGCTATGTATAGTGTTTGTTGTTATTATTATATTTTATTATTATGTTATAATGTGCATTTTTCAGCATCTGCTGTGGGGGGAGGCTTGGGATCAATCCCTCGTGAATACAGAGTTCCTACTGTATAAGTATAACACAGCAAATGAGGAGACTATAGAAAAGAACCATAACTCTGTAATAGAATGCAAGCTTTACACATGGAAAGACGCAGGTATGATCTCAGCCTGTTAGGACACAGGTGAGCAAAGATTGGTTGTCCAGATGTTGTTGAAACAGAACGCCCAGGATTCCTTAGACTATTTACCATTGGTTTCTGAGAATCCAACAACCTTGGAAAGTCAACTCTTTGGCCACTCCTGCACTAAAAGGGAGGGTGAAAGATAGCTCTCTGCCCAAAACATAGAGATTTACTGCCTGCCACTGTTGACAATACTGGGATACCTTGCTGGATGAAGAATATTATCTGGTGTAAGGCAGCTTTCTACAGTTGATATTTCCAATTATATTCTGAGATGCTATGTTTTCAAATTAAAAAAAATAAATCCCTAAGTTTTTTGTTAGCTTGAATCATTACTGTTTATGACCTGCTGGTTTGAATGGCACGAGTTAGTATTCAGTGGGTCCAAAACGCTGCAGCCAGATTGTAAACTGGGCTGTTTACAGGGATCACATAACCCTTCCGTTACAGCAGCTCCACCGGTAGTTGATCTGTTTCTGCACTCAAGTCAAAGTGTTGCTTTTAACCTATAAAGCCCTAAATGTCTAGGGTCCGAGCTAACTCAAGGACTGTATCTCCCTTGATGAACCTGCCTGGGTGTTACGATCATCAGTGGAGGACTTCCTGTCCCCCCACCATCAGAGGTCCATTGGGTGGCAACATGGGAAAGGGCCTTCTCTATTGCTGCACGTAGACTCCCTTCTACAGGAGAGCAGATGGCCCCATCTTTGCTGTCCTTTCACAAGGAGGCAAAGACCTTTCTCTTCAGGCAAGCCTTCCCTCAGCGAACCTTGGCATGACTGCAGAAGGATGAAAACAGCAGCCTATGAGGCTAGCACAACACTTGTTCAAGTAGAGGTAGAAGGTTCAGGTACACTCACAAGATTGAGTAGATGCCCTCTCTGTCACAAGCGTGATCTGGAAAACTTTGTGGGACCAAATATTGCACTGCGGGTGACACATCTGGTGGCAAACTTTCTTCTCCCGCATGTTCATTCACTGTCCCTTCAGGCTCATGGAGCAGCACCCTGGCCCTGAACCAGCTTGCTCTTCCCTTCAATTGATTTCAGGAAGGGGTAGAACTGTCCTCCCCCCTGGCCAACGGCTAGGGAGAGAGGCTAGAAGCAGCAGCAACCAAGTCAATTGCATGGAGAGCCCCACAGGCAGCTGGCAAGCCTTCAGAGCAGGAGAGAAGGTATAACACCGCCTTGTTGCAAGGAGGGACCTCCCCATGCCAGGCAGTCTTGTTCTCTGGTGTGCTGCAGGAGCAGAAAGCCAGACCCATGTTCCTTGCAATCGCCGAGGGCTCGACTAATTCCCAGAACTTTAAGGTTCTGCTCTGTCCCTGTTAGCAACATGAAAAGGGCTGAGCAGGCAAGCGACGACGGCACCGCCCACTTTAAGGTTTCCAGTCTTTATGCAATTTCTCCTCCTCTGCCCGGGGCATAGGTTCACACGAGGAGAAGGAGGGAAGAGGAGGCCCATTCCCTGCATGCAGTCACTGTAATTATTTGTTTCACGTTGCCGCACGTTGCCTTTATAGAGGAAAAGGATGCTGCAAAGACCTGTCTCTTTGGGCACTTCTGTTGCGTGTATTGTGTTAGGTGGCAAAATCAGGACTCTCTCCTTTCACAATGCTACAGCATAGAGCCTGGATAGTGTCACAGAAATCTATGAAGAATGATCCCTCTCCATAAATATATAGGGTTTGGTCTGAGGTGAGGATACAGCTTTTCCAGAGGATGAAGTCCTGGGACGCAGCTTCAGGTTACTCTTAGCTCTCATAGCTAAACCGACCAGTCACACTGGATGTGTCTGGTCCCCTTTTAAAGCCACCTGAGAGCCAATGTTGAACGATGGGACTTGGGATCGCCGATTCTAGTCTCCAACTGAACAATAGTTGACCAAGACCCATCCACAGTCTCCTAGTCTGACAAAAGTGACATTTATACTGTTTTCAGGTCACTAGAAGGATTTGCTGCATCCGCTTCTCATTTACGTATCAAGGTGGATTGTCTTTACCAGTTTCTAGAAAAGAAGGTACAGTACTGTACGTAAATATCCTGAAAGCTTTACTCAAACCTCCAGTCAGTTCTGAATCTTGCAGAAGTAGAGCATTAATAGAGAATATTTTCGTTGGTTGTTGGAACCCTTCGCACCCACATTCTGGTTCCGATACGTGGATGACACCTTTGCAATTTGGAGCTACGGTGAAGAAAAACCAGAAGAATTTCTAAACCATCTCAACAGCATCCACCCAAATCTACAATTCACAGTGGATGCGAAGGGTGCCGAAGCCAGGGCCTGTTTTTCGAAATGTTCCATGCAGAAGTTTGCTATAACCGGCCTGAGGGGGCTCCCCATGGCCACTCCATCTGCCTGTTCATAGAACTCGTTATCCCACTGAAAGTAGCTGGTCGTTAGGCAGGGTTGGAAAAGGACCTTGATGTCTTCTGGAAAAATCTGCTGGAGGAGTGTCAGAGTGTCCTTTATTGGTACCTTGGTGAATAGGTACCATAATCAGTCAGTCCTCTAAAGCAGTGGTCCTCAACCTTGGGCCTCCAGATGTTCTTGGACTTCAACTCCCAGAAATCCTGGCCAGTGGAGGTGGTGGTGAAGGCTTCTGGGAGTTGTAGTCCAAGAA